CGATAGTGCATACGTCTTTGATTTGTTTTAAAGTAAGCACAACATGTGAAAGTCAAAGCGTATAACTTTAAAAACTTATACCTGATTTTTTATTTTTTTTCATTTAAAGTCTGTAACCAGTGGCTTTCAAATCAGTTTCTGGGATGCTCCATTATACGTAAAGATCATAAGCTTACTCTTGTGGTTGTACAAACAACCATGTAGTTGTGTGTATACGATAGGAACAACTTTTAGACTTATCGAAATTGCAATATAGTTAAAATAGATTAATAATCTTTATACTTAAACAAAAAATCTGAATAGCTTTGGTTATTAAATAAGTAATGGTTTCAGTTCACGGTTACAAGAAGTAAGTAAACTATCGCTAGAGTATTTTGGATAGCTATTAACAAACAATTTTAAGTAATGGTTTCAGTTCACGCTTACAAGAAGTAAGTAAACTATCGCTAGAGTATTTTGGATAGCTATTAACAAACAATTTTATTCAATTGCCTTCAAAGTATCTGACCTAAATTTCCATTAAAAAGTAAGCTACTTATATGGCTTTATTGGATGTGTATGAGCAATCTAATTACTCACCGAGGTATGTTTAGCTGGCTTGTTTCTTGTGAAGATACAAAAGCAACACTGAGTTCAATCGAAGGCATCCTTTACTAAGTTGGGGTTTATTGAGTTAAACTTTCTAAACCTTAGATAAAATCTTACACATTAGATGCATGATGTTTAGATGAAAAGATGTAAAAGCCTCGATTTGTAGGGAGAATAAATTCCTAAAGTTTTTCCAGATTGACTTCTTGCTGCATTCTTATTGCATGATTACCTTACCTCAACTACCATAGCAACCGTGGCAAAGCTTGGCCGTTGTATGCGTGTTTATTACAATATCTCAGAATTGTATTAAGTAGCAGCTGATGTGAGTGATTCTCATATTTTCTTTCAAGACAGTAACAGGATTTCTCAAAACAATAAGCTGTTGTTGCTATTTGAATAAGGATTATCCAAGCAGTTCAAGGTTTTCTGAGTCTTTTTATATACTACAGTTAGCTTTCGTTTCATGTTTTGATTCAAATTTAATGTAAACATGTTTTAGAAACAGATGCCTGTTTAAGAACGGGTGTTGAAAGATCGATGTTTTCTGTCCACTTCTATGTCGTTAGGTGTCACTACTCTTTTCTTTTTACATTTCCTTAGAGGAAAGTTCCCGACAAAACATTCTATCTCGATTACTAAGAATACTATTTTATTCATTTATTTCACCATTTTTAGGGATTATTTCTAAGTTTACGTTTATTAAAATTAAAAGAGACCAATATTTCCGGCCGAATGCAACATGCTTCTGGCACACAATCACAACATGGACAATTCTGACACCATAAAAATCGCGAAAACCATAGAAAAATCGAAAACTTTCTATATTACTGCTTGGGACCTACAATAAAGTATATTTGTACCAAATCCCACGTAAAACACACTAAAATCCGAAATTGTGCTTTTCTCGCTGAAAAATTGAGAAACAGACGAAAATTTCAAAATTGTTTATATCTCTGTTTGAAACGTGTAAAACATATCTTTGTACCAAATCCCGTGTAAATTGGCCGAAATAAGGCAGGGTAATTGCAAAAAAATAAATAATGTTTTTTGAGACATTTTGACCCCCCCCCCCCTATAATCACTGAAAATGAGCAAGTCTAATAGTTTTCCTTGCAAGTGAGTGTATGCTCGTGGAAAAGTACCTTTGTACCAAATTCCATGTCAACAAGCTTAAGTAATTGACCAAAATCCCTAAAATTATGGCTTTTGACTCCCTAAAATGACCAAAAATGGGCACATCCCACATTTTTATATGTATGGGACCTGTAAAAAAATGAAGTAAAAAAAGTGAATTGGTCGAAATACGGCGGAGTAATTGTCAAAAAAGCCTCAAAATTATGCTTTTTGTGAGCTCTGATCCCCCTAACAAGACTCAAGTAGGCAAACCTAGCTTTTTTGTATGTCACTGTGTTGGGCGCATGAAAATTTGTATTTGTGCCAATTTTTATCTTGGTTACTGCAAATATGACCGCACAGAAGCCCAAATATACATTTTTGGGTTGTTTGTTTTTTGACCCCATAAAATCTTTAAAAAAAAGGCCTAAGTAAAAAAATGAAAAATTTATCAGAGCATATTGGACCAAAGTATAATCCTATCAAGTTTGAAGTCAAGAAATGAATGAATGGCGATCGATTGAAAAGTGTTTGGAAGAAGAATAGACAATAGAACAACAACATGTTTCTTTGCGGAGACATAAATTAATTCCAAAAATCATTGTTGTAAACGTCATAAAAATTTGTTTGTTTGTTTCATACTCGTCACATTATACAAATATTTTAAAGTTTAGTTTAGAAACGATTAAGTTTATTCAGATTTCACAAAAATACTTAAATTATAGTTATAATGGAAACTGGCGAAGCCTTTCATTAACATTTCCTAGCATTCCATTCCTAAGCTATTTTGTGCCCTGGTGTTACTATAAATACTTAACCAGACTCTGTCTTCATTAAATATTACAAACAGCCGTTATGAGTACATAATACTGTTACGACAGCGGAAGTCACGTGACCCTAGTAACACGTCATGAGTTTCTAGAAGGATCGGGGAATATCATGAATATCCTAGTATTTGCTAGACGCCCTCTATTTTTATATATAAGCCGGGAACTAAAGTGACGGCATAGATGATTGCAGACAGGCAGAGACAGAGACGGACAATTGAGACAAGCGCGGTAGTGACAGTAAGTAAAGTGCGTGAATCGTTGTGAATTATAGCGTGTGTTGAAGTTAAAGTAACTGTGGAAATTAAGTGTATTGCAAAGTTGTATTGAGAAAGAATAAATTAGTTTTCTTTAAGAAAGGACTTGTATCGCTAAATTTTCGTCGGAAAGAAATTATACGGAAAATTAACAAACGAGTAGAGACGTAACAATGTATTCTTAATTATTGTGCAACGAACGGATTTGTACTTATGGGTTTTGACGTTCTGGAACCAAATGCTTTTGAGTTATTTTATTAATGTTGAAAGACTGGATATCTAATATTCAAATATTATAAGTTAACATTAGTTTTGAGATACCAATGACTATTAAATTTATGAATTTTACATTAAAGTTCACATTAAAATTATTCATGATCAACACTAACGACACAGTACAAAGTCCTGTGATCTATGACTATGAGATAAAGATGTACTGTACTCAGTTGGACTCACGGAATTGTAAAATTTAGAATAAGCTATTCTTATTATAATAAATTCATGGTTTCCTATTTTAACTGGAGATCAATATATATATATGTTTACTTCTCTTACTTAAATTCCCAGTGGTTATTGTTTTGAACTTGTAGCCGAAAGGTTTCGAGTTTGAGTCTTGCCTGGAACATGTTGTTGAGCCCTCGAGCGAAACCCTTTATCCTAAACGCTTCAGTTTACCACAGAGTAGCTAGGCTTAATCTTCGACGGACTGGAAATCTATCGAGAGAAATAGTCACCTTTAATAACCTCTTATGATGACTCAGGAAACCGGAGTTAAGCATTAGGTTAATGTGCCTTTCATGCGCGAAAATTAACTTAGTTATTTACTTAAAATCACTTCATTTTTATTTTTGTTATACATTTATGCAAAGTGGGCTTTAGTTTCATACAATTCAGTTATCATTTAAAAAACTAATTAACGAATAAATACTTAGTTAGAGATGACAGTGTAAGCCTTTTAGATATTTTAATTAAAATTATAATACGCTTTTAAACGGATTATAGAAGTGCTTTCTTGTATAACTATGGACTCATCAAATTTCTGTTAAATATATATATATTCCAAAGCAGGTACAAGACACAGACAATTTCATTTATAATAAAATGAAACTTTAGGAACTGTTCGTGTGAGTTCGTGATTTGTTGGTTTAGCGATCAAATTTGTAAAAAAAAAAAAATTACAGTTGCGTATTAAAAAAAAAGAAAGTAGTATTCAATTATTAATTCTAAAATAGTTAAGTATAGCCAGATTTACTATTATTATTATTCTCTATGATAGATTTTAAAAGTGTCTTTTACGCGCCTCATCTTTTTTACTCTGAAACATATACGTAGGAAGATGATATTGAATTATCATGTGCTGAAAACACAGGATGGGGTATTAAAGATGAGATTTATGCGTGTGAAAAGCTCAAGCTGCTGAGGATGGTTTTAATATCTACAAATGTAAAGGGCAGTCCTGAAAGTTACAGTGTAAACGATAATGCTTAGAACTACACATATAAAGGACAGCCTTGAAAGTTACAGTGTAAAAGATAATGTTTAGAACTAGACATATAAATAACAGCCTTGAAAGTTACAATGTAAAATATAATATTTAGAACTACACATATAAAGGACAGCCTTGAAAGTTACAATGTAAAATATAATATTTAGAACTACACATATAAAGGACAGCCTTGAAAGTTACAATGTAAAATATAATATTTAGTACTACACATATAAAGGACAGACTTGAAAGTTACAGTGTAAAAGATAATGTTTAGAACTACACATATAAAGGACAGCCTTGAAAGTTACAATGTAAAATATAATATTTAGAACTACACATATAAAGGACAGCCTTGAAAGTTACAATGTAAAATATAATGTTTAGAACTACACATATAAAGGACAGTTTTGAAGCTTACAATGCAGTAGATTATTTCTAGAACTATAAAACTATTGTACTGAATGCAGCACACCAAAACGCTAAAGATATTTTATTAGTCTATATTCTACAGAATTATCTATTTTGGATGAGGAATTTTTTTATTTCTATTTCTTTCTGAAAATGGGCACACAGTTAAACACACACACAGTTACATATATATATATATATGTACCATATCGATTTCTGGCAAAAGTACTGTCATGAACACGCGGCTCTTTTTAACCAATGTTTCACTGAATTTCTAACAATTTAAATATTGTTTGTTTAATTTTAGGTACAAAGTTGCACAATGAGATGTCTGTACAGAGCCTATAAAAATTATCGAACCCCACATTTTCGCGTTCTAAGACCTCAAGTTTAGAGCTGAGCAGCCAGGAAGTCCAGCAGTGTACAAGAAAACGTAGAACATGGTTGCCTGGTAACACTTCTATAGAACTCTGGAGAGATGTTCAGTGAAAAGTTGGGCGGAAATTAGCTGCAAGTACAACACGTTGAAGAGAAAGGTTATGCTTGACGTCATTATAATAGCTAGATCGGTGAGATTTTCTAAGATAAAACAACGACTATTAACACATTTTCCTGTGTTCAACAACTAGAAATAAACGAAAACTGTACGTAAAAGTTTTGAACTAAGATATTATTATTATTATTGTTTAAAATTTCCTGTGTTGTTTAAAAGCTGGGATGTAAATCAAATGCACGATATCTGAATTTATTAATGTATCATCTAATGTTTCTGTCTAAAACTTTCTAGTTAGTAGATGTGTGCTTTGTGATGTTAAAGTTCAGTATGAAATATCTAGAGGTTGTAGAAAGAAACATTAAAATCACAACGATGGAATACAATATTATTAAGCGTTGTTATCAGTTGTACTAACGAACTAGCTGATGTCGAAACTAAATGTTATCCGTAAGGATTTACTAGCTGCCTTCCCTTCTGCCTATCAGTTTAGGATTATGGAAGGTATGAGCAGGTGCTTATGTTGCTTTTATTTCCAAAGTCTACAAGAGTTGCAAAAGTCCGCCATATAAAGCTTGACCTAAATATATAAGTTAGAGCTACACAGCTTGACCTAAATCTATAAGTTAGAGCTACACAGCTTGACCTAAATCTATAAATTAGAGCTACACAGCTTAACCTAAATCTATAAGTTAGAGCTACACAGCTTGACCTAAATCTATAAATTAGAGCTACACAGCTTAACCTAAATCTATAAGTTAGAGCTACACAGCTTAACCTAAATCTAGAAGTTAGAGCTACACAGCTTAACCTAAATCTAGAAGTTAGAGCTACACAGCTTGACTTAAATCTAGAAGTTAGAGCTACACAGCTTAACCTAAATCTAGAAGTTAGAGCTACACAGCTTAACCTAAATCTAGAAGATAGAGCGACACAGCTTAACCTAAATCCATCCTTAAAATATCATCTTAAGTCATCATGAACAATGATAGCAATTTGATGAATATCTATAATTATTTTAGGCCTTTTCATGACTAACGTTCAAGTTCTAATTTCACTTTAAGTTTTTACTCTGCTTACCAGAACCTGTGAAACACAGTTGTAAAATAATATTAGCAGGAAAGTTTTAACACTCTGCTTACTGAAGCTTGAGAAACCCAACTATAAGCTAATATTAACAGGAAGCCTACCGAAGCCTGAGAAATACAACTATAAGGTAACATTTGTAGGAAAATTTCAAATGAATGAGATTTTAAGATCAGTTATTTCCACTGCTTCTCATGTTTTTAAAGAATCTTCATTAGTGACAACAATATTTTGTTTTAACAGGATACTAATGGGTAAATAAGGTTATTAATGTAGTTTCAATTATATTTGACTTACGTATCAATGAAATAACCTGTTTATTAAATTCTAAATTGTGGTCGAAATTTATGAATGAACGCATGCTATATATATATACATAATATATCTTCATAACTATGTTATTGGAAGAGAAAAGCTGAATTAAAACAAGGACAACGATCAACTTTAGAAGCTGAATGCTCAAAATGTTTGCAGTGATCTTTACAGCTTTTCTCTTGTTCAGCACTCGAACTTTAAGCCTTATAATCAAGTATTTTTGTACGTGTGGTATGTTATATAAATCTGAGCCTTCTACTTGCAGTTGGACGTAAAAAATTAAAAATAATAATAATTTATTTGGTTTGATCTGAATAGTTACCTTTAACTATGCGCCCTCGCAACATGCACGGTTTAACACCTATAGCCCAGCGTCCATGTACGATGGTCTCTGTTTTCCCATTAATGTTTTTATGGGGATTTTTTTTTCTTCCAGGACTTAGCAAACTTAGACTTCAACACACACTTGTAACTGGTTAGCTGGGTAACAATATGCAATTGTTATGCCTAAGACTAGTTTTAGGAGACATTGTGTTGCTATACTGGGTAACAGAGTAAAATATCTGTGCTGAAGGG